GTGTGTGTGTGTGAGAGAGAGAGAGAGAGAGAGAGAGAGAGAGAGAGAGAGAGAGAGAGAGAGAGAGTGTGAGGACAAGTGCTCACGGCTGCTGCGCAAAGCTTCCCCGTACAGATACAGGAAAGTCGATGGAGCCTTTTTTTTTAAAGAACGATGACAGATGTCACTTTCCTGGGATCGTCCCTTTGGGTCATCTGCAGAGGGCAATATGGGGCATGAACGCTGGGGCTGGGACCGGGTTGGCGGTCGGAGTAAAAGTTGGCAGGTTTTCCAGAGAGGTTGCTTTCAGCTCTTCCCCCCAGGCAAACAGTTGGAAGGATCCCATTTCCCCAAAGAGAGGATTCCATAAATGATGATGGCCAGCTTCTCTGGTTGTAAGTGTACCTCCTTCATATCACAGCTTAGAAGTACATTATAGAACAAATAGCCATTTTCATATGTCCATAAGCAACTTTTATTCAATCTTTCTGAGTTTTTTAAAAGTAGAAAAGTAAACTATATTCAAGATTATTTGATTTTTTTTAAACACCTGTAAATTAGTCTTCTTAGTGTTTATTCCATCTGCAGTCTGTTAATATCTGTTAGGATCCTAAGTACACATTTGGCAGATGTGATTAACATACAAGCCAAACCACCATCACCAGGCTAAAGGGGGCAAAGGGTTTTGTTGTAAAATAGCACTGCTGTTGATCATTTTGCAGAAAACTTCTGCAGAGGTAGACTTTCTTACAATGCAACTTTAGATCATAAGATCTCTGGGTTTATGAACCAAAACTAACTCAGTTGTCGCATCTGTTGTAAAATCCAAATTACTATGTATAGTTGAAGTATACTGGCAACTTGTAGACAAACTGTTGCTGACTGCTACAATCAGATAATGGTACAGAACTTACAAGGAAACCTTTTGTTTTTCTTTTTTTCCCTTTGAGCAGTGTTCTCCTGTGTTCTAGCAATTAAACAGAAACCTGTTCATATGAGAACTCCTACCTGATTCATATCTGGGGCTTAAAAACCTGGTTTATTAGATCACATTTTCTTAAGGAAGATGGATGGCCTTAAAACACAAAGGATAACTGCTCCCTCAATAAAATAAGCAAATATAGGTTTTAAGAGTAGAAAGGAAATTTTATTTTGACCCCAAAGCACGCTACTAATACACAAACTCAGAGGGTTACCAGGGACTTCAGATGAGGGCCATCTAGTTTATTTGTTGTTATTTGAAAAGACTGAAACAATCGCAGACCTGAAAACCTATCTTCTCTCCTCCTCCTCCCTCTTTATTTTCTTTTTCTCCTCCTTCTCCTCCTTTCCCCCTTCCCTCTTCTCTCTCTTACAAATGCCCACTCTTAAAGAGGAACAATGATTACACATATGAAATTCTACCTTCTTTAATAATTAATTTACACACGCTTGAGCAAAATCTATGACTTTCATTTTAAAAGAAGATTAGTATTTTAATGTGATTTTGATGCTTTCCTCTGTAAATAGAAACTTTAATTTTTATTAGAGCTACTTAATGAAGGAAAAAAATGATAAATTTCTCTGTATCTAGAGGCAAGTGTTCTTATACTATTTTTGGATCCTGTTATATGATGTGTTTTTAGGTTATTATTTTTATTCAGTTAAGTTTTATTTAATCCTTATCACAGCATTTACAATGCCAACTTTTTTTGGAGTTTAGATTGCTTTTGTGTATGTGCACATATAAAGATGATAGAGAAATATTAAAAATGTAAGAAGAAATATATTTGAGATATGATGCATGTGCTTCCTATGGCGTTTTTTTCTTTATGAGTATTTATTTACCGCATGCATTTTCTATAATTGTGTTACAAGTGTTGCAATATATAATTGTAAAAATTTATGAAATATAGTCTATGAATTCAATCTATAAATAAAAATGAGGGAAACTACTAGAAACATCTATATTGAAGTTTCTAGGTAGTAAGCAAACCCTCACAATTTCTGGAAAAAAACTAATTAACATTACCAAATTTTGTTGCAAAATGCCCTCATCATCACATAGTTAAAAAACTACAAAATATGATAATGCTTGTAATGAATGCCTTATGACTTGAGGTAACATTATTTACAGATATGTGTACTTTAAATCATTCCCAACATCTGAATGATTTTATAAAATTGTGAATTAGTATTTAAGTAAACATTATTTCTATGACTTTTCTATTCAGTGAAAAGAAAGATGAGGGCTGTAAATAGGAATGAGACCCAAGAGAGACAAAATAAGGTAGATGAGACACAGAGCCAGTAAGAGAAAAGAGATGTAGGATATGAGCAGAATGATGCCATGAGAGGGAGTGAAAGATGGATCAGAAGAGCTTATAGAGATGCCCAAAGAAGATGAGCGATGTACCAGTGGAGACTTGGCTAAAGAGGATTGTCTTTCAGGACTCATGACTTCCTAGCACTTTAAGTTAAAAGGGGGAAAAGTGCAAGGAAAAAGTCCAAGTGGAAACTCCTACATACTATTCTTATTTGAGAAAAGAGATTCATCTTCATGTCCTGATGGATAAATTTCCATAGTGTATTGTAGAATGGAAGGCCTATTTGTAATGGTGTCATTGGCAATTTTCTTTTTCTACATAACAAACATTTCTCCCCCTCTCTGTCAGATAACTGGGGGAGAGTATAAGTCCTGATTTAGGGTATTTTAATTTGGAATGTTTCCTACACTATTCCAGAACACACAAAATAGACCATTTTCAAATTGGTCGTTTTCAAAGACCTTAAGGTATTGCCACTAAGTGGCACTTTGATTTAGCTGAGGGCACGTTTTTATTAATGCACACTGAAGAAAAACGAATGAGTAAAATACATATATGATTGTTTCTTTGACAGTACTGAAAGCCACAAAAAGAACTCAGTCAGTTTCTTACATTAAATACATTTATTAGCTAATTATCAAAATATTCAAAGTTGTCTTCCCAGAAAAGAAGTTGGAAAATAATACCTGCCTCAGCTACTAGAGAATAGAAAGACTGAAAATCTTGACTATTCATTTTTCTATTAAATAAGTCAAGCTTTACATCACTGCAGTTGCAGAGGGCTATATAAGTATTTTTCCTTGATGCCCTTTAGCTTCAGAAATTAATTGTAAAGAAGATTATTTTGATGGTTATTAAGAAATGGTAAAAAGACCCAAACCAAATAGGAAAAATTGTTACCTTGTTTTAGATCTTTGTTTTTGCAGATAAAGCACCGACCGTGATTATTTTTTCTAATTCTTGTCCAAGAGAACTTGGAGTTTTAATATCAGAGAGTGAAGGCAAGTCAGAAAGCAAATGTCTAAAAATCTCACTCTTATGCAATGGATTTTCTTTACTAAATTCTTCAAAGTTTAATGTGGCAGTAAAATATTAAATTAAAAATTGGCATTCAGTAAATGTGAAAAATCAGCCAATACATTATAGTGTTATCTCTCTTTATCTACCAATCTATATAAGAGTTACATTGTCAGATTTCATGATCAGCATTTAATTTCATTTGAGGACCAGCTGATTAAATGTTATTCAGTCATTTACATATAGTTAAATGGATGCTTAAAGAAACAAGAATGTATGATTAAGAAAACATTTTAATGCATTTAGAGACATGATTCAACATATATTCAAATTAATAAAGTTCATTTTTTTTAAGTAAAAATTTAAATGGTTCAGTTGTGGTTTATTGTTATTTTGGCTGTGTGAACAGAACATAAATGGGCTTCCACATTAGAATAACTTTATGTGACTTATACTGACTTTTACAACAATTTAAAACTACTGCTTTCAAGTACTAGAAATATGATTATTTTAAGCATTCAATGAGTTTGGCTTTGTATTCACACTTGATGAATATAGTTTATAATCCATAAAGAATAACAATTTACTTTGAAAATTGATGTTTTCGTTCATAGTAAAGTTAAGCAAAATCAAATTTTTGAAAAACTTGCATCACTTACCTGGGCTAATATTTTGTATGACTTACATTTTCGGAAACGATAAAAGATTTTAGAAATTAATCTGGGAAGTAAATGCAGACGTTTTAATTCATGGGATAATGAGGGGATAGTCATGTCTGTTAAAAGTATTCACATAGTCAACAATGCACTGTCTTTTATTAGAGAATGATGTCAAGATTATAATTAAAGCAATCTAGTCATGTGCCAGTGCACAGAACTTCCACGTGTACATTCATTTTAAATGCACACTTTTGTATAACCAACAATATTTGTATTTATCTAATACTTTAACTGGATTTCATAT